TATACTGATCCATTGATACTGATGGACATAACAGGCAACCTCCAACTAGAGTATAAATAAGGTAATCTAAACTAAATGTTCCTTAATTTTCTTGAGAGCAACTGGCAAATAAATGTATTAAATATATTTAGATTTTAGAGTCATTCCTATAGCTTGATGGTACAGAGGACTACATATCCCAATAACCAAGGAATCTCATCATGTCCAACCACAAGCGAGAACTCATGGTGCATCCAAATAATACTGATTAAGTGTAATTTCGAAAACTTCTAGCGGGGAAACAGAAAAAATTACAAATTTCAGACAATTTCATACCCTTTTAAGTAAAGATAAAAAAAACATATTAAGCTGGAATTACAATTACGTTCTGAATTATATTTGAACGATTTGGCTTGTTCTACATAAGTTATACCGGTGCATTTTTGGTATTGACGGTCTGCAAATGCAACACAGAAGGGTATTTATCTTATCTATATTTAGATATTTATTTATATTTGGCATCTAATATTAGTGAAAGTGTTACACATTTAGAATAATTCATGAATACAAACAAAAACCAATGTTTTTTTCTTATTTTTACATTTTGCCGATATCACCTGAATGCCTCATTGCCACACCAGTTCCACTTCCCGGAACAAGGAGGAGCTGGGTAGTTTATCGCGGATACAAACACAAATCTCCGTTCCTTTTGGTAAGTTGGTGTATTTTATGCCACTCTGAGTTTTATCAGGACTAACTGTTTTGAAAACATAAATTAGGCGGTTTGTTGCGTTCATTTAGACGGTCGTTTTACTGTTTAACCGAGAGTAAGTGCTCTTGTATCGAAAAGTCAGGCCTTAATGCACGGGTGGGCTAGCTAGCGGCAGTAGAAATGAAACTAAATGTTTCATCCGCGTCTAAGAAATGCATATCTGTTCCTATATGCATACACATTAAAATCGCTCGCATAACTTGATGTCTTAAGGTTGTAGCTAGAGACTGTGGTTAGTTGGTTAGCTAGTTAGTTAGTCGTTGGTCATTAGCTGCTTGAGTGCCGCTGGTCGGAGCGCTTTACAAATGACTCCTGTTGAATGGCGCCCTAAATCTTTTCACTGTCGTAGGGACGATACACGAAAACTGTGGGAACGGAAGCCTTTGGGGGTAACTTCAGTTATCTAACAGATCATCTAAGTCCATTTGACGTTTTTAACTGTAATCAAACATTAAAAAAAAGACTTCGCTATACTTCCTTGCTCTGAATGATCCTTTGGGGCTAACTACAGCCCAGCTGGTCCGTGTGCAATGAAAGAAGTGCGCCTCTGTTGTCCTCTTATTCATGGCACTTGGACAAAGTTAGTGACTGTGTTTGGGTAAAAGGACCGCAGTTAAACTAATAATAATGTTGTCATTGCACATGTACAACGAAATCGGGTGCAGTGCAAAGGTCTGGAAAAAAAGGCTTGAAAGTATTCCCATTGTAATTATTTATAAAAAAGTCTATAAATACACACAGAAATTTCTAAAAGTAATCATAAAAAAGAAGGTAAAACACACATATCACACATGCAAAACAATTATCTTGCAAAGTTCGGTTTCAGCAGTGTTTAGTGCTGTTGTAGCTTTTGGGTAAAAGCTTTTTTCTACATGTTTGTTCTTGTTTTAAATGTACTTAAACATCTGAGGACAGCAGTTCAACAGTGTCCAGATGGATCTTTCAGATGTTTTGGCAATATTATGTTAAACAAATGTGTAAGTGAGGTGTTCTTCCACCAAGATCGGACATGCTTGTGAGGATCAGCGACTGTATGGTCCATGAGACTGTATGGTTCCAGTTTGATCTGATATCAAGCTTAGGATTGCTAAAGTAACAGAATTAGACTTTCCTCCTTATCAGTGTGTTAGAAATATTTAATTCTAGAACTTGCATTTGTCTCACCAGCATTGGATCTCTTTATTTCTGTTTAAATGTCTTTACTTAACTCATTAATGTCTTGCTGTCGTATCCGGTAAGACTTATCACTCCCTGCAAATATGTGTGGTGTGTACACATCCTCTGGGAGCCTGCAGGTGGATGCTGGGAGGTTGTGTTTGGTATATGACAGGAGAGTGAGACATGTTTTTGTGTTATAATGCAGTTGCTGCTTGAACACCTCCCAGGTTTCTCTCCATTTATTCAGTTCTAGATTTTTTTTTTCTTGCTACAATTTTAAAAAGTACCTCACATTGTTAGGTGATATACACTGATCAGACATAACATTATGACCACCTAATATTGTGTTGAGCACCCTTTTGTTGCCAAAACAGTCCTGACCTGTTGAGACCCCTGTGCTGTGGTATCTGGCATTAAGATGTTAACAACAGATCTTTTAGGTCCCGTAAATTGCGAGGTGGGGCATGGATTGGACTTGTTTGTCCAGCACATCCAACAGATGGTCGATTGGACTGAGATCTGGAGAATCCACAGGCCAAGTCAACACCTCAAACTCGTTGGTGTGCTCCTCATTACATTTTTCAAGCAGCATTTTTGCTTTGTGGCACTGCACATTATCCTGCTGAAAGAGGCCACAGCTGTCAGAGAATAACATTACCATGAAATAGTGTGCATGGTCTGCAACAATGCTTAGGTAGGTGCCAAAGTAACATCCACCCAATGTTTCCCAGCAGAACATTCCCGACCACTGGTTCACCACCGTTCCTTCCTTGAACCACTTTTGATAGATACTGACCAATGCAGACCAGGAACTCCTCACAAGAGCTGCAGTTTTGGAGATGAACTGACCCGGTCGTGTAGCTGTCACAGTTTGGCCCTTGGAAAAAGAACTCGCTCAAATCCTAACACCCGCCCATTTTACCTGCTACTAACACATCGACCACGAGGAGACGATGTTCATTTATTCCCCAATATATCCCGACCAACAACACGTGCCATGATGAAGATGTAATCAGTTTTATTCACTTTACCTGCTAGTGGTCATAATGGTATCCTTGATCAGTGTATTTACTAGTTAATACAACAATTGGTTAATCTTACCTTTCAGAAAAATGAAATGATATCTGTGTTGATTTGAGAGTTGATTGTAATGCTGCCAAGTTACTCTTTGGGGAACCAACAGTTTACAAACCAAAGATATATGATGATATAAAAGAGCAACTAAGACTATAACCTATAAACAACTTTATATTTAACTTTCCTTTAAGTGCATTCTGAAAGTTGTCCATAAAGCATACTCCCCCTTTTGTAATATTTGAATATACACATATGTTTTGAGTATGACATGTCGCACATATTCACAGCTTTCTCTCGTGGCCATCTTTCTCAGGTCTGAGCCTCATCGTTCCTGAACAGGATGATCGACGTGCAAGCATGGGCAGAGTATGTGGTGGAGTGGGCTGCCAAAGACCCCTATGGTTTTCTCACAACTATCATACTGGCTCTCACCCCTCTCTTCATTGCCAGCGCTCTGCTGTCCTGGAAGCTGGCCAAGATGATCGAGGCACGTGACCGCGAACAGAAGAAGAAGCAGAAACGTCAGGAAAACATAGCCAAAGCCAAGAGGACCAAGAAAGACTGAGCTGGCGAGGGCTAGGATAGGGGCATTGCAAAGGACGAGCAAACCATCACGCTCGCAGGCCTCCTTTTCTAAACAATGACACGGTGCCCTTCCTTCTCCCAGACCTACTCTCAGCACAGGGCCACTATGCCTCATGTCCAGGGTAGGAGGAGGGACGCTGGCCCCACAGACTTAACAGTGCTGATGGACAGTACTGCCCTGAGGAAGCTTGTCTCAGTGGGACTTTGGTCAGCAACAGCACAGTAGTCATCTGTATAACGTTTTTATACAGTGACCTGCTGTTATATCGTGCAGCTGTTGCAACACCTTGCATTCCATTGTTGGCATCCCCGTTTTGCTGAAATGATGACATAATGAGAATAATGGAACTTTTTAAGCTTGATAACTTGCAAGCTATCCAAATGATTACTTTATGATCAATAAAATTTTCATGGTTGGTAAGAAAGCTTCCTTTTTTTGGATTTAATATTATGCTGTGTACTTATTTACCCATAAACACTGAATCAGAGGGCTGGTAATAAAATACACTACCACAAATTCAAAAAAGTAGGCTCGCAATGTTCAGTAAGGTGACAGCAAGTGCATTTAAGGGTAATACTCCTGTATGTGCAAGGTCTTATTGTTGATTATGGAGTTCTAAAATATAAAAGCATCAAACAAATCAGCATGATCTGTGGTACAGGAAGGTGAAAAGTAATATTTAACAGGTGTGCCTTTATTAAATATCAATTAAAAAATAGTAAACCAGGATTACATATTAAACAACTCGTGTTTCATGTACTGTATGCTTTTAATTTGGATGCAGACCGTTGCTCATTTTATTAGATATTTTTTATTTTTGTTTATAAGTAGAAAGTGAACCTTCGCTTTGATTCAGTGTTGTAAAATAAAACATTCAAAAGTCCACAGGGGTTGGTATTTTTATGGGTGGCGACTGGCTTTGAGTACTCGTGAGCCTATAAAGAGGAAGTCAAAGCAGTTTAGTGTAACTGTTTTCTGTTTCTTAGTTTTACTTCCCTGCGTTCAGAGAACTGATGTCTCATGACTGCTTTTAGAATGACAGACATGAGAAGGAAGACTGTTTTAAGCTAACAGTCTTCCCCTCTCTCTCTCCCCAATTTCCTGTCCATCTCTACTTAGTATCCAATAAAAAGAGCAAAAGTATATCTTTGACCATTTCAGAGGATTTTTAAAAAATTTGGTAAGCGACTAACCACTAACTTTACAATGAATCATCCAAGCATTAAAAGACTCCTATAACTTTAGGGATGAACCACTGTTGTGTCTACACATAACAAAGAAAAAAAAAACAATTTCAAATTGTACCTCTAGGCACTTTATTACTAGCAGCCTGTCACAAAAATACATCATTACCATTTCTGTAGTAGAATCTATGAAAACTGCCAAAGACAACACGGTTTGTAGAGGTGTAAAATAGTATTTTTGCAACAACAGGGTGACAAATAGGAATATTTTGGCATGCTGAGCAGTTTGCCCTTAAAGAATCTGGACAAAAGAAGAAGTGACAGCCTTAAACAAAACTATCTATCGAAGATGATCGGTATCTGAAAGTTATGTCCTTAAGAAATGGGGGGAAAAAATGCAGCAAAGATCTGACACAGATGCAAAAGTCTCATCATAAATGGTCTCAGTGGAAGGGTGGCTGTGAGGAATCTATGCTTAAAGAGAAACAGGAAGAAAAGGCTGAGTTATTCTACAAGAACTAGACTGAAAATTCAGTGATGAATGCAAATTTGACATTTTTGGGTTAAATCGTCATGAGCATTGCACAGAGGAGGTCAGGAGAGAGATACAACAGTGAACATCTACAGCCACCTGCAAAACACAGCACAGGCTCTGTCATGGTTTGGAGCTGCGTTTCAACCACTGATGTTGGAGATCTTAATAAAACTGATGGAATTACGAACATCAGATTATGATCCTCCATGCAATACCGTTGTTCAGCATGAAAATCATCCCAAATGCATTTCAAATGCAGTAAAAAAATATACGTGGATAGAAAAAACACACAATGGAACACTTATCAGTCATGGATTGGTCTCCCCAGAGCCCAAACCTCAATATTACTGAAGCAGGGTGGGATCATCGGGACAGAAAACAGAGCAAAAAGCAGCCAACATCCAAAGAAGAGCTTTAAATGTCCTTCAAGAAGTATTCCTGTAGAAATTACAAGGAAAACCTGCCTAAAAGAGTTCAGGCTGTTCTGAAGAATAAAGGCAGGAATACCAAATATCGACTTTTTTGCCTAGTTTACTGTATTTTTATAGGTTTGCACATTTCAGATAAATTGCTGCATCTATTTCCCAGTTTCCCAGCAAAATAAAGAAATCAGGAGTAGCTCAAGACTTTACACAGAACCGTGTCTGCCCAACATATACTGTCAACATAAGTGAGAGAAGAATGTCTTTAAATCCATAAGCTGCAACATTATTATTATTATTATTATTATTTGTGATCTTCAAATCAATATTCTGTAACAAAGAGACAACAGTTCATTTAATGTAACCACATTTAATAATTATACTTAATTCACTTTCCCTGAAAGATGTTTGTAGTTGTCCTCAGTGCAATTTATTCATTTTGTTTAGTTTTTTTATCATTCAGTCTTTCACCAGCATGAACTTAGTTTAATTCAACTTCAAGATAAGTGATGGATACTCTCATGTGTGTGTGTGTGTGTGTGTGTGTGTGTGTGTGTGTGTGTGTGTGTGTGTGTGTGTGT